AGATCGGTGCCAACTGTAGGTCGGGCCGTGCCCTGACCTTCGGATGAAGGTGGCAGTGTGGATCCGCCCGATAGTAGACTCTCGGCCAACGAGCTTACGAGCGGCGAGGTGTCGACAGTAGTATTCGGAGTGGCGATAATAGGGGCAACAGTATTAGGGGCAGCAGGAAGGCTGGCAATAGAGGCGGCGGGAAAATCAGCTATAGCGGCCACAGCGGGGGAAAGGTGAGCGATGGTATGGGGGATAGGAGTGGCCGTTGGCTGGGAGCGTGGACTTGCTGGCTTCGGGGTCGAAGACCTCCTCAACTCCGCGAGATCAATACCATTATGGTCCTTGGGAACATGGCGACGAGAGCCCTTAACATTAATCGAGGACCTTCGTGCAAGCGGTGTCTGTTTACCATTCAAGAGACGAGGAGATATCGTGGGTGTTGCCCTGCCTGAGAGCGCTGCAATATTACGAGCCGAACCGTTGGTGATGTTGGCATTCGAGTTTTGCACGCCAGGCCGCACGGGAGCAGAGGCCACCCTCTGTGGCTGTCGATTCATTGCTAACTGGGTTTGCTGTTCATGGTGGGTGTAGAAACCCGGCGGCGCATGCTGCGATGACATCCCATAGGGAGGCCATGATTTGTTGAAAGCAGTCGGTGGGATATCGCCAGTCGGAAACCCCATAGAACTTGGATTTATGTTGAAGCCTGTGGGTTGTATGGGGGCAAATCTTGATGGGGTGAACGGCGCCATAGTTGGCTGTACTGGGGTGGACGCCGGGGTGATTGGTGTATGGTTAACTGGCGTATGGGTCATCATTCCATTATTAGCCAGTGGCTGTGTGAAGCCGGCTTGTATCAAGTCTACTTGTGGGAAGTCTGCTGGTGGGAATTGTGCCGGAGAAAAGTGTGATCGATTGAAATGTGCTGGGGGGAATGTTGGGGGAAACTGTGGCGGCATATGAACGCCATTGGCCATGAAATTCGACTGCATGGGAGGATTGCCGTTGACATCGTTATGCTGGGTATACTGGAAGTGGCCATGCTGTTGGTGTTGTATGGGTTGCTGAGGAGCTTGTAAGTCCTGGGACTGGAACCCGATAGATGGCGAGGCTGCGAGCTGGTCGATTTGGTAATGGTTTCTCTGCATCTCTAGTCCAGGTTGCGGTTGCTGATGAAAATGGCAGGGCCGCTTTGGCACGCCTGCTTGGGATGACTGATGTCTCCTCATTGTATTGTCACTGATGCCAGAATAACAGACAAAATACAGAACAATATAGATGATATCAACCTTCAATATGCAGGACTGATGTTGATGTCTAGTTTTGTGCCAAAGAGGAATGAGAACAACGGACAGTGGAGGATGGGGAAGACAAGTTGAATCGGGGAGAGTACTCGGATATTTATAACAGTAAACTGAATAGCCTTTTAGTGTGGATTATTAGATTTACTAGTTAGAAGGTATTATCCTCCATAACAACAGTTATAATTACTTAGGTACTAGATGATGATAGCCATAGGCAGTTGCTCCAGACCAGTGAATGAATGTATTATGTACCGAAGGTCTCCACATATGGTTGTGTTAATAGAACTCTAGTGAACATAAGCACATTCTAGTGTAGAGTATAATGTAAGAGTTATCAGACTGTCAAAGCAAACTGATTGGCAGGTTGTCTTAGGCCCAAACCTTACTTTAGGGGGAACAATGAGCAAGCTCCTATTCCCTATTGTCTCTTTATTCACTGAGCTGTGATACCTAGGTTCCTATCCCCATACATGCACTATCAATCTCAATACAACTAATATTCTTTATGATACTCTCGCCATCCCCCAAGCGCACCATAATTCCATCGTCGCTCTTTGAGCCACGACTTGGTGGCCATCCAAGTTTTGCTAATCCATCATGGGGATCTGCAAGAAAGGCAAACACATAGTCCTGCATTTGCTCAGCAACTTGTTTCTCAACATCCGTTGCCCCACCTGAGATATTGTAGGTACCAAATATCATAGGTAAGTCAGCACCATGGTATGCGCCCATCCAAGGATAAGGAGTTATGTTCGAATAATTACCCACGTACTCATATCGGTATGTAGTAAGATTATTCTTCATGCGCACATTCGAAGTGTTATATGCAGGACATATAAAATCACTTAGCGTGCCTTTGTCAACAGCTGTTTTGTTAGGGCCACCAATCAAGTTGTTGATAGGGTATGCTATTAAGCTTGATTGTTCATTGGAAGTAATAGACACTAGAGCGGGAACGCGAGAGATTAACCCTCTCTCTGCTCTTTCAGTGTAGTTTTCGTATATAATTTTATCGTCAGCTGTCGGCCGGAAAAAGAGCGATGGTTTGGTGTGATTGTCTCCATAGTGGCCAACAAAGTTTGAGATAAGGGTGGCGGGTACCTGCTGCATACACTCTAGCTCTGCTTCTGCGTCATCGGGGAAATTACAATTAAGCTTCTTCGCTACATGGCTGAAGTTTGTTTGCAAGGCGTTATCCCCTTGAGCGAATGTGCGCATGGCAGTTCCAGACATCAAAAAGAATGCGGCAGCCAGGGGATCGTCGGGGTACGCGAAGTTCAGGATATCAACTGACAAAGCACCTGCAGAATGTCCCCATAATGTAATTCGATTTCGATCGCCCCCAAAAGCTCCAATGTTTTTATGAACCCATTCTAGAGCGAGTCTTTGATCGAGTATACCGACGTTTTGAGTTTTCAATCCAGCGGCATTAGGAAACCCAAAGATATTGACTCGATAGTTGATAGTCACCATTATATGCGCGTGGGTTCGGTTTATCCATGCAGCCGGATTGTAATGCGGGACATCCAGGCCCCCGCCCCTGAAACTTCCGCCAGGCACAAAAAGCCCTACTGGAAGTCTATCCCGACGTGTTGCATCGATGGGCGTCCAAACAGCAAGACTGAGGCAATCTTCAGCACTAGTCTGCGCCATCTCTCCGGCATAATAACTCTGGTCTCCCGGTGAGATTGAGAAGTTCGTAATGTTGGAATTCCACAGCGAAAGGGATTTCGATAAGTATTGTGGACATGGTGGTGGAAATCTGTAAGAGTAATGATGCTGCTTTGACGGCTCTCGCGCTACTGGGGGTTTCCATCGTAGCTTGCCGACTGGAGGTTTTGCATAAGGGATGTTGCGGAATACCCTAACCTCTCCGTAGTCAACATCTTGGAGGCCCGTATAACTTCCGGTTGAAGTCTTGACTGTAAGACGACTATCGTTTCCTCTTGTGTGAGGAGAACTGTGGATGGCAAAGGCTCTCAAAGGAGCAATCAAACACAAAAACAACTTGGCCCTCATTGTTCGTATGCGATGATACCATACAAGTTTGAGACAGAGCGATCAGTACAGTCTTTCTTGAAGAAATTTCTTCAACCACCTACATTCTTTATACGTTCTACGAGGAAACGCGATATGTAGTTAAATCAAGCCATAAGTCTAGACTTGCTCCATGCAGTCTGCAGTGTAACTATAGTGAGCATGAAGGAGGGTGGGAGTCCCTTGTCTTTTTCACCCACTCATAAGATAGCCAGGTCCGTCGGGAAAATCTCTATTGGGCTTACTATATTGAACCAAGTTTTTGTGTATGGTGCAATTACAATTCAATATTCTGAAATCTGGGGTTCTCGACCGCACTCGATCTTGGTAGCCATTAGGCTAAACAACGTTGGCTCACGGGGAACATGTAAAAGACCAATAATGAAAACAAGAACCCCAGAAAGAACTACCGATACGAGCCAAATTGCAATGCCCTGGTGATAGTTTCTTCCAAATCTAATTGGAGAATCTGTCCAACGCTTCAATATGCTGTGAAATAACCCTGTCCAAAAAACGGCGTGTGTTCGGTATAGCATCGTTTGTTAGCAGCAGTATTGCACTCAACGACTTCATTGGTGCCTTAGCCTAGTTACCAACATGGCCCTACAACTCGTTTAATGCGCGTACGAAGATGAGAGGTGCCGCATTACAGATAGCACTAGTTAAGGCGCGCGAATTACGATTGTATAAAGAATCAAGAACGACGTGAGAATCAACAGCGAAGAAATCACCTCTTCGCGCCACTCAACTGGAATCGTCGGCAAGCAGCCTACTTCCGATATGCATGTCGCTTAGGAGAGACCGCATAGAAGGACAAATGATCGACAGGGTCCTCGCTAGAATTCGACTCGATGCTTCCATGGGGTCAGCGAAACAGCCGAACAAATGCCATTGCCGCGTTTTGAGCATCAGCGGCAGAGTTAAACCGTTCATAACTACTTGTCCCGCAAGCCGGGTCACCAAGTGCTGCAGCTTTATAAACAGGTATGTTTCAAATCGACTTTTAAGGGACTCTTAGAGTGACCTGGAACCCAAACAGAGCGCGACTATAGATAATAATCAAATCTATATAGGGCACAAAAATGTGAAACCCCGCGTTTCGGGAACTCCAAAAGCGGTACATCTCCTCCTGTCTCGGGTAGGCGTGCATAGTCATCTTTTACCTTGCACTCATTTTTAAGGTCGAATTCATTTTGATGGAGGTGCTATCATGAGAGTTAGGTCTACGTCGTCAGCATCCCCTCGTTGATGATGACTGATGAGTAATGAGTGGTGAGGAGTGAGTTCAACGCTACTCTAGCTGACTCTGGGAGACGTAATCAATCTTCATTTACCTATGTACTAGTAGAAATCAAAGTTACCGTTCTGATGATTTGATTATTCGCAGTTCTTATCAAAACACGTAAGTACGCGTCGTAATGCCGCCACGTAAGTTGTGCCCGAGTGAATGAGTGAGTCAGTGAGTGAGAAGTGAAGATGAGAAGATTGCTCTTTGGCCGCCAAGAAAATTCGGAGTTCGGTGCTCGGAATATTCCCTAAATCTATCTCTGCCAGATCTGTATACCTAAGCCAAGTGGGTATCTGTTTGCCCACCAAACTAACAAGTGGGCTCCCACTTCGCGTCCCAAGTTGAAGAATGGGTTTCCCGACATACAGAGACCACCATTCGCCCGGTTAGCTCAATCGGTAGAGCGTGAGACTCTTAATCTCAAGGTTGCGGGTATGTACAAGTTCGATCTTGGTGGATCGAATGCATCCAAAGCTAACTCCAACAATAGGTTCGACCCCCGCATCGGGCTCAATTCCTGATGCCTCCCAGGTCACTGGGAGTTGCAACCAATCAATATTTTTTTTCGATTTTCTTTTTTTTTCTTGCTATAGTAACAGGACGTAGTACAAGAACGCCAAATGGTAATTCGATAATTCGATCATAGTCGTTTAATAGGACTTGTTTCTATTGATCGCTTTTATAATTATATAGGATTGCCTAACTAGATAGAACATAATAGGTAGTATGTACACCAAGGCGGATAAGACAGGGCACCTTACCCAAACGTCTTAGCGCTTAGTCGGAGTAAAAGATCCAGCCTACAGATGCATCTAGAGCCCCTGGAAAGTAGATGCCTACTTTAGGTAAATAGGTACCTACCTACTCGGGTGGATATTCGATATTCCTTTCATACGTCAACACTATTAACTTGGATTGAAACTCCATCTGAGATCCGAATACATAAGAGAGACTAGCGACGGGAACTAAGCATGTCCTTAGAGGACGTCCGCTCATTATAGACGGGTACTAAGCGAGGGATAGCGCAGGCTCGCATTGGTTAAGACATTGATTACCCGACCACTAAATAGACTCATAGACTCCCGCGACAATGGCGGCACAACCGGGACCAGACGAGCACCACGGCGACGATGAGGTTAACGAACGGACGCCCTTTCTTCGTCCCACGTCGCCTACAAGAGGCTCCGATGCAAACGGATCCGCCCCTAAAGGTTCAATCTCCTGGCTCGGGCGCATAATGCCACAGGCTCGGAGCCCTGATGGTATTGTCGCCGTCTTATGCCTCGTTATCTTCGTCGCGTCGGCCGCGGGTGGGTTCCAGAGCATGTCCACGACTAGGATCTTCGAAGACATACTCTGTCGCGAGTACTACGGTCAGCTCCGTAGCAGTGATGAGCCCATCGACGAGGAAATGTGTAAGGTCGACGCCATCCAGTCCAAGCTCGCTTACCTCTTCGCCATTCTCGCTTCCCTCAATTCTGGCGTCAGTGTCTTGGCTGCGCTGCCATGGGGTATCGCTGCCGATAAGTAAGTCGACATCCATTGCCTTCCGGACACTATCTACAGTTGCATGAAGATCAACCATGCTAACCCTCTCTAGAGTTGGGCGACGTCCGGTCTTTGCACTGGGCCTAATTGGCATGTCCATATCGTTACTGTGCATTATCATCGTTGGGTGGTTCCGTCGAACGTTTCCTCCGCAGATGATCTGGTTGTCACCCATATTTTACCTACTGGGTGGTGGTGATCCAGTCATCGCTGCCACCGTCACCAGTATCGCAATTGATGTAGTGCCTGAGTCACAGAGGTGAGTTTTGTTGGATTCCCGTTCGGATCAACCTCGCTAACGGCCAGGCACTTAGATCTGCTTGCTTCATGCGAATCCACGGTTCAAGTATGATCGGCAACCTGATATCACCGGCCTTAGCTGTGAGTGCATCTCGGGGCTATTTTCTTCCTGTTTCAGCTATTTCCAGAGTTGAGACTTTCCTTTTTGGTGAATACTGTGTCTGGAAACTTCTAAGATCCTCATAAATGATGCTCAAAATGGCGATAACTAACTCCGAGTTCTCTAGTCGATTATGATGTCTTCGACGGGTCCTTGGCCGCCATTATTTGTAGCCCTCTTGCTAACCGCAATCCCGTCTGCCATGATCTTCCTAGTCCCAGAGAGCTTGAAACATGAGTCCTCCGATGATGGCGATGAACCAGACAGGAGCACTCTCAAGACATTTGTCACGAATGGGCTTGTCGAGCTCAAGAAATCGGCCAAGATCTTTAGTTCCCCGTCTATGATCATAATTCTAGCAATCTTTACGCTGCAGCTAGCGCTCGTGCTGTCTACATATCAGTTCATGGGTCAGTTCACCTCAAAGCGGTACCACATCCCACTCGCCGAGACGGGCTATATCCAATCCGCGTATGGCGTCACCTTCATATCCGTTTCCTTTTTCATCATGCCCTTCATCGCATCGGAAGTTCTAAAATCACGAACACCGGCCTTCCTACGCTTCGACGACGACAAAAAGCGAGATATGTTCTTCGCCCGGTCGGCATATCTGGTGTCAATGGTGGGGACCTTCATCCTCGGTCTCGCCGGATCTATCCCCGGGTTTGTGTTCGGTCTTGTTATCCTCGCGTTCGGCGTCTCGGGCGAGGGCTTCCTTAGGAGTATAGCTACGCTCTACGTCAGTGCTGAGCAGCGGTCTCGGCTCTTCACTATACTCGCCCTCTCAGCCATCGCGAGTAACCTATGGGTGTCACCTGCTCTTGCGGCGTTATTCTCTCTCGGCATGCGCCTCGGTGGTGTCTGGATGGGGCTGCCGTACTTCGGCGTATCTAGCCTATGCGTTGTGATCTTTATTATGGCTCTCTTTTTGAAACCGCCTCCGCCGGCCAAGGTTGACGCAGAGTCTGAATCTGAGGGGTTATTAAATTCGGAATAAAGGCACTTAGTGCATGCAAGATTTCGAACTAGATGTAATCGTTTGATGGAGGCGCTTTTCTTTTTTGTTACTAGATTTGGAGATGTTAAGAGTTCAGAACCTCGAGGTCATGCAGACACATATTTGTATATTAAACTACACAGATTGGGTATACGCCACTAATCCTTTCTAAAGATTGGGAACTCAGCAACACACTTAAACAACGTCTTTGCCACACATGCTGGCATCTACCGTCTCCCTCTGCCGATCGATTTTAGCCATCAAGCAAGAAAATCTCAAGGACGCTTTCTTTCCAGGTTGCCATCTCTTCGCCTCTTGCCTACTGGGTATCAACCAATTATCCGTAGCCTTTAAGAGATAGAATAGTAGTAGCAGTCGTGAACGTGAACTTCTAGTGCATTGGAGCTTAGCGTCGGGGTGGAATCATGAGAGATATCATCTCTCGCTAAGTACAGCCCCCTTGAAATGAATTGAAGCACTCAGAATCGTAATCTTCCCCAACTTGTCCTTTCTACCCACCAGACTGTCCGATGCCTCTCACTAGTTCATCATATCAGGGGTATGCTGCCATGACCTAAGCAGCGTTATATGCCCTTTACCCTTTAACGAAGACCTGTTATCGAAGTCTGAACCCGCCGTCGGCAGCCATGCAAGATAAAGCGTTACCTAAACACTACCCTTCTGGTCAAGAGAACCGAGCAGGGAAGGACCGCAACAAGAGCATTTCAGAAGTGCTAACCACTCACTCATAACTCGCCCGGCTGCCATGAGATAGAACACCCTGATTCTTTCCGCGCATCAAGACTTGTATCCTAAGCAGGAAATAAACGCATTAGGCGACTCATTCAGGTATCTCCGACGAACCGGTGCTAGCCCACGAGTCGCGCCGGTTTCTGCGAAGGACCTTGTCTTTCAGGTTCAGCCAGGCATTGGCGATCCTGACGCGGCGCGGCAGCGGATACGACTCGACACTCGAGTCGTCGACGCTCTCCGTAGCGCCGTCTTCTGAATTCCTCGCTGGTGCATCGGACTCTGACGTTGCGTCGTCGTTCGGGCGCCAGTTTTGAGGTGGTGGTGGTGGACCCAAGGTCGGTCTGCCCGAAGGTTGTACGGTGAGCCCTGCTATTGGGGGGAACGGTGGTATTATCGGTGGTGATATCGGTGGTGATGGCGGGCCGGTGGGTATTGGCCACATCTGCATCGTGATGTTCCAGCCTGGCTTCACTGTCTGGTCCCATGCCTGCGGTAAGATGATAGCCCCATCCGGGCCGACTAGATCGTAATGGCCCTCCCTAACATGTGGCCCGACGACATCGACATGGCGGAACGCCGATTCGATCAATTCCTGCATGCCCTGTGCCAGCGTCAGTCAGTCATCCGCCGTACACAGCGACTAGGCTAATAATTCGGCCTGCGATGTCTTACCTCCCAGGTACTCCCTTGCGCGAAGGGAATTGCAATCTTGCGCCCCACGGCGTCTTTCAGATCTAGAGCACTCGGGATTAGCTATCGCCACCTGGAGTATAATTTGCGAAGATATTAGAAGTTTCTAGGCACAGCTTTCACCAAAAGGGGGAAGTCTCTGCTCTAGAAATCGGCAAAACAAGAAGAAAATAGCCCCGAGAAATACTCACGGATCTGGCGCTCGTTTTCCAGGTCTTTCTTCGCTCTTTCATCCGCCCACTGTCGTATCTTCTCTCTATATTCCTCTTCCTCGGCTTGTTTCATAGCAGCCTCAAACGCCCTCGCTTCTGCTTCCCGCCTCTCTCGCTCCTCGGCTTCGGCTTTGCGCAGTAACTCTTCCCTCAACCTTGTCGCAGCCGCGGCTTCTTCGTAGGCTCTCTTCTCTGCCTCTATTCTCCTCTGGATCTCAAGTTCGGCCTGCTTTCGTGCTTCGATCTCTCTCTAGAGGGATGGTCAGTAGTTAGTTTGGCAGGATGCTGAGCAGCAACTATGTTTGCCTCCTATCTAGGAAGTTGGAACGCCGCAGTTGGGTAGAATGAGCGCTTACCTTCTTTCGCATTTCAGATTCTTCCTTCATCTTCTTCTCCATCTCCTCGATAGCGGCCTTTCTCATCGCCTCGGCTTTCGCCTCCAACGCGGTCGCTTCTGCTTTGGCTTTTGCCATAGCTTCCTCTTTCTCCATCCTCTGCTTTTTCATCTGTTCTTCCATCTGCATCTCCCAGTTTAGCTGCTCGGTTCGTTCCTTCGCTTCGGCTCGGGTTTTTCGCTCAGCTTGTTCGATAGCTTCCCTCCTAATTTCATCAACTTCTACAGGGAATTTGTCAGTAACTGGCATCGGCGAATTCATGTTTATGTCAGAGCCGTGCAGAGACGTTTTGTCTCGGAGAGCTTATCAAAAATGTTAAGAGACATACGCTGCTTTAGCCCCTCCAGTATTGCCATCCGTTCATTCCGCCGCTCGCGCTCGGATTCCTTCTCGGCCTCTAGTCTTTTATTGAACTCGGCTTCCCACTTCTGACGTAGCTGTTCGGCATTGACTTCTTCTTC